TTCTGTTCTTACCTGAGAACAAATCCCAAAGAAGAAAACACTGGTTAATGTCAGAATCTTTGTTAAACTGTGTAAGTGGGTTTTAAGAAGAAATTTGTTTTTAAAATCGATTGGTAAATGAGGTCTAATGAAGTCGTTTTACTGAAGCGTTAAAAGGCTGTTTAGAGTATCTCATGTAAACTTAATTGATTTTATTAACTTTGATGTACAACATCAACTGTATTGCTTTATTATCTGAGAACTCGTATCAGCTTATACTCAGTATTAAAGGACTTGGATCAGATTGGGGGAAAATTCCTACTAAAGACCTGTCAGTTCCTCACCTTCCTAACCACAAACCTTGTATATTAGTTTCGTACTAGTTACTGAACAATAAGCTCTCAGATTAATGACTGAATAATAGCCTGGTTCAAGCATCGTTCTGCAGAGTGCAGACAGTAAATCTGCTGTGTGTGTGTGTGTGATAGTTCAGGCCTAAGTCTGTCATATTACAGGGCAGCTATTAAGAAACTGAAGTAGGCATGCCATACGGTAAATACTTTCTCTGCATTGAGCTTAATTTAGCTTAAATGGTTTGGTGTAGCATCTCTGGAGCCCCATGACTAAACTTGAGGAGGAAGATAAGAGGCTGAAACCTGAGCTCTTAGAACGCTGTGACTGGCATCCTACAAATGCACTGTGCCTCTTTGAGGTGTTGCTATGCATGTTGCTCTGTGAGTGAGTGGGTGTTTGTGTGTGTTTTGTACTAATCATTGCTGACGGATGATCCTGAGGTAACTCAAATAATAAGCCACAGTCATGCTGAAAAACAGAGCGGCTAGATTATGATACTCAATCAGGATTTTTTGCCTAATCCTGCTATAACAAAAACTGGAAACTTCAGTATACCCCTCAAATTGTAAAAGCCCATATGTAGGCCCACACCTCAACTCCTCACTTTCATAACTACAGTACTGTTAAAAAGTCTGAAACCACACTTTTGTTTATTTAATTTCCAGTAAAAAAAGACCATTAAGTACAGGTTATTAATTTCTCAGTGTCAGAAAAAGAAACATCTAAAATGAGAGAATTACATAAAATAAATCAACTCTGTCAATGTTTAATTTATCTGCTCTTTGCTTTTGTGTTCTCTGCTGCCCATTAAACCCTTTTGTCCTTTCAGTTGTAACAGTGGGTGTGTTTTGGCAGGAAAACACAAAATGGGGGGGACCTCCAGGATCAGGGTTAGGAACCACTGCACTAGAACACTGAACTAGAACTGAAACTGGACATCTGAGATGGGACTAAATTTGTAATTGGGACTGCTCGGATCGTGAGAAGCCGAAAATGCAACCAACTTCTAAGAGTGAAGTGTGGAGTTGTGGGAAAATATCCCTGCAAATATTGAAAAACTGCAAGCAAGTCTTCTGAAAAGAATGAAAGCTGTAATAAAGGCGGAAAAAAAAATACATTTAGTTGTCGAGGCTTCTCAGTAAATTTTCTGTTAAATATATATGTTTTGTTTTATCTGACAAAAAATGTACTTAATGGCCATTTTGCCTGGAAATGAAATTAAATGGTGGTATCTGACTTTTCTACAGTACTGTTCATAACCTACATATTAGTTTCATAGTAGTTACTGAATAATACATATTAAGCATAATAACTGCATAAGAAGCCTGCAGTTAGAGAGGTTAAACATATTTAAGCTTGACATGTTCTTAGGAACTTGGTTCCCACTAGCAACTTTATCTTGCAGCATTTTAGTTACGCTAAGCAGGTGTCACCACAAACACTTTCTACCTCTGACCTTAAAACGTGCCCAAGTACACAAGTCCACCAGCCCATTTGAAGCACATTACTTCAGGTGCTGTCTGCTGATGTAGTTTGCTTCTCCTGCTCCCAGCCTAAGCACTGCAGTTTTGTCAGTGTTGAGACTGAGTAGGGGGTCAAGTGTTCAGAAGCACCTCTTCATTCTTGAGAACCTGTGTAAATGACACTTGTTACTGAATGGATGCTGACTGCCTCTTAATGGTGTTTAGAACTATCTGCTCTGCTGTGTAGCAGAAGTGCTGATCCTTAGCCCAGTCAGCCATGACTCCATGTCACAGCTTAGATGGATTTGTGTCTTAAGGGCTGTTGATAAACAGAATCTTCATAACCTAATTTGCTTTGGATGAGTCACCATTTCTTGGGGAATACATCTCTGTTTATGTTTAGTTTGTCTTCTGTACCCATCCATCTTTCTCAGACACGGTGTCTCAATGTTCTCTCTCTCTCTCTCTCTCTCTCTCTCTCTCTCTCTCTCTCTGAGTCTCTCTAACCAATAATGCCTCCCAGGCAAAAAGCAGATCTTCCCAAAGATTTTCTTGTTTTTACTTTGCAAGTTAATTACTAGCCACATTACATAGAGTAAATACCACACAGATTAAAGGCAGGTCACTCATAAAGAAACTTATTATAAAGGTCTTATTTCATCTTTTCTAGATAGATAAATGGATGGACAGATGTATGGATGGAAGGATGGATAGACAGATGGATGAATGGATAGACAGATGGATAGACAAATAAGTGGACAGATAGCTGGACGTATGAGTAAATAGACGATCGACACAATGGGCCCAAATGTCTGAGGGACATTGAAAAACTGGGATTTTTTTTATTTAAACCTCAAAATGAATTAGAAGTCTTGAAAGTAGAATCTTGAAAATTTTAAAACAAAGAAAAGTTAAGACGATGAAGTAAAACAAAGAACGTGTTCAAGATTCTGTACTATTTGTAGGTCACTATTCAAATGTAATCAAATTGGTGATATTAGTCATGTTGAGGCCAAGAAGATCCTACTTTTTTATACTTATCTCTTCCATTGAAGCTCGTGTTCAGACGACTCGCAGGTGAATTTGATCAACTCAGGAGAGGCTTTTGCGCAAAGTGGAGTCCGTGCCAGCTTGAGTGCAAACTGTCATTAAAGCAATTTTCACTCATATTTTTATGGTGAGTGGATGGTTGGATGGATGGACAGATAAATGGATGAATAGATAAATAGATGGACAGAGAAATGTAGATAGATGAATGAGCAGATAGATGGACAACTAAAGAGGTGGGCAGAGATGGATGGAGAAATGGATAGGTAGGTAGATGAACAGATACATAGATGAAAGGATGGTTAGATAGATAGGTAGATGCTTTATTACTCCTAAAAGTTATAATAGCTACAAAGAAACTGTGAAGTATGGCTTTACTGGTGTCTGCTTGAACACAGGTGAACATGAAGAGATTGAGATGATGCCTCGTTATATTTATTTTCTATTAATAGTCGGAGGCCCAGATTAGCCCTTTCTCTTCTGGATTGGATGGCCAGGAATTATGTTGTCGCACAGATTCATTTGTACCGTTGTTCAGCGTAGGCCCACCACATCCTGTCAGCCAGAAATGTGTTTCTATTTATAGTAGTCCCTGTTCTAATTTTAGCCCTCTTATTTTCCCTTCTCTGTTTTTGGTGCTTGGTTTTGTTTGACGTGTCTTCCCATGTGTGTCACTTCCTGTTCCATGGTTCTCTCTGCTGCTGAGTCGCTCAGATAGCAGACACTGGACAAAGCAGCAACTTCATCTGTTCTGCCTGGCTGAATATGCATTCACTGGCAAAGTGTCGTACAGCATTCAGTCAGTGAAGAAATTATACAGTTCATTAAGGCTGCACAAAACTTTGAATACTCTTTTCTACCCTTTTACTCTTTAGGTTTACAGATTTATTTATGCTCACTTCATATGTAACTTGAGATATAATGCTGGCATGTACTTTTTACTAGTTATACTTATTACTTATACTTTATAGCTTCAGATTTAAACATCTCATAACTGCACATTTAAACACTTAAGATTTATAGATTTATTCTGACTTCACAAAAGTTAAGACACCGTCAAACTCCAAATTTAGACCCTTTATCATGTTTGATTTAAAAACACTTTATAATTTTTTTTTATTTAAAACACTTTATAATGTTAAATGTTAACACTTTATAACTTAAGATTTCTGGACCTGTGCTGACTTCACAACTTCAACTTCATACACTTTATCCTTTCTGATTTAAACACTTTATAACTTCAGATTTAAACACTTTAGAACTTCTGAACTCTGCTGACTGCACAAGCCTGGCTTTACGAATGTGTCATGTTGTGTTCTACCTATGTTTTAGTCTAGGTGATTGTTATGTAAATAGTGTCCCATGGAAATGAGTTTGGAGGACTTGTACTATGCAAAAATGATTATGTAAGAGGGAATCACACGCAAGGCACTATGCAAAATTAAGGAGTTATTTACACAACATTCATCTGCTCTTTTTTTTTCACAGGATGCCTTGCTTCTCAGTTTGAAATGTAACTTTTCATCACCCTCTAATGTTCAGTCTTTTCTCCTACTCCATAGGCTTGCTCTTTTGAATAAGTGCACATGTATGTCTGATTTTCATTTCATTTACAACAATTTGCCTTGTCATTTGTGTACCACGAAATCAGCTGTAGGTTTTCAGAGCTGAAAGCACTTATTTCTATGTTGAAATGTTTTTTTTTGGATCTTTACAGTCTGATGGATAATTACACCCAGTCAGGTGTCTTTACCACGTATATCATGTTAAATGTGGTTAGGTTCCTCCCTTGGGTCCTCCTTCACATCCTCTCCTCTTAAATAAGACCAGGCTGTCTTCCAATCAAATTCCAGCACCATTTGCCATATCAACAGTCTGCAACTCAATAAGCGTGTCAAGACCTGTCAGAGCTCATGGCTGTAAAAGAATCCAGCTTCAAACACTCTCTCTCTCACACACACACACACACACACACACACACACACACACACACACACACAGAGGCACTTTTCAGCATTCTTTGAGTGTAAACAGGTACCCAGTACCTAATACATGACTTTGAAACTAAGCTTTCTATAACTGTGCCATCTCTCTCTCTCTCTCTCTCTCTCTCTCTCTCTCTGTCTCTCTCTCTCTGTCTCTCTCTTATTGTTTCAGACCCGTGTCTGACAGTGATTCCTCCCTGCATGAACGAAGCGGACCGTTTCAGCCTCGAGGCGCTGCGGCACATTCACAAGCAGCTGGACGATGACAACGATGGCGGCATCGAAGTGAACGAGAGCGTGGAGGTCAGCCAGCCAGTTCGAGCAGCTAACACCCACAATCTTGTTTTGGTGTCTCGCTGAAACTTAAGCCTAAAACAACACTCCTTTATCACAGAATGTGGACATTCTCACATTTTTCTCTCTACCTTGCTCTATAATTACGCTCTAAAGGCACCTGTAAGAGCGAACAGGTGGAGAGGTGGAATGCGTAGACATTGCCAGAGGTTATGACATGGATAATCCAACCATGTAGTACAAGAGTTATGAGTTTGGACTTTCCCTGTAGGCTTGTGAGCTAAGGCCATGTTCACAAGACATTTTTACAGCAGTCAAAATAAAAAACACATTGGCATGCATTGCTAGTCTGTTTTGGGTGTGTGTGGGGTCCATAAGTCAGACTACTAGTGAAAATGCTACTAGTTTGCATTCCTGTATAATTTAATAGAACGATTTTCATTACAAATTCTATTATCAGCATAACAATTTGAATGCAAAGTAGAATATTTTAACATGAATGAACATGAACATTTTTTCATGTGAATTATAAGAAATCCTAAAAATTTCAGAATTTAAATATGTTCTTCTTTTGCTTTAATGACAGCAAGTCTCGAGCTGCCACAGACTCCACATGTTTGTGCAAAAGCCTCTGATGATTAGATCAAATGCTCCTGAGAGTCGTGTGAACGTGAGCCTCACTGTAACAGATAAGACCAAAAAAAAAAAAGATGGCCTCAACATGGTCTGTGTTGCAAATTTGCTTAAATTTGAGTAGTGATCTAGAAATAATGCAGAACTATAAACATTTCCTTTTCCTTTGGCTTGTCATAACTTTTCTTTGTTTTAGATATTTTAACATTCTGAAATGTTCAGTTGTTTGTTTTCTAAGTTTAAATGAAAAAAAATTCCCAGATTTTCAGTGTGGACTTTTGAACCTCACTGTAGATTTGAGCGGGAAACTCATCCAAACATGAACACTCATAGGCAAAAACTGGCAGCTGCTTTTTCATAAAAGCAAGCAAAAAAGATGAGTTTTAATCAAACCAGCTACCTCCCTACTATATCTGCAGAACTGAATATTACAGCGAGTCAGCTAGTTTAGCTTTTCCTCCATTTTGTTTAAAATCGATGTGACTAACTGAAGCCCCACCCCACACCACATCCAATTGGTTGATACATGGATCCGTCAGAGTATGCTCTGTCAAACATTCAACTTTAACAGACAATGAAGCATAACTTTCAGGCGTTGCTATGTATTGGCATCTGCTGTCAATCAGTGCATCATTCTCATTAAAACCAATGGAAAGAGGTGTGGGTTTTTTTTTTAGATACAAGAGTGTTCTGGTGAACGCAGCCTGAACCATCTGCATTAACACAATCACAGGAAATGTTTTTCTCCTTATGCCTTACATGTTGGTTCAAACTCTCATAACGGAAGGAGTCTTTTAACTACACAGAGTCGTCCAACTCTGTCCATCAAACTTTCGATGATGTCTAGTTTTATTTAAATTATGCCTTTCTCACAGTCAATGATGCTTTACAAGAGAAAGTTCTATCATATAAAATACATTGGGCAAAGACAATAAGAACATAGAGAAAAACAATATAAGCTTTAAAACGCAAAGCACTACTAACAGGGTCATGAAAACATAATGGAGGAAGGGCAGAATTGTGGATAATTGAGTCTGTGTGAAGACATCTTTTAACATTAAAAGAGGAGTGACTACTGCAGGTGTGGATATATTATGGAAGAGCAGTTGAGTCTTATAGCATTCTATTTTTAATAAATAACCATGTTTTCTTTGAACATTATATAGAGAACTGTTTAGATCTTGCCATTTATTTTTCAAAAAATAAATTTACCATGCAAAACTGAAGAAACAACTGAGGAAGCACAAGTTTAGGAAATTACGCAATACCCCACATTTTATCTCCTTGTTGTGATGACAGCACTCAAAGCTTTCAGCTGTTTGAACCACCTTTGGGGCAAAAGGTTTTTTAAGTATCTGCTTTTAATAATAGTTTGGAAACGTTTGTCACCAGGGTGGTACCCTGAAGTGTATGTCCTTAGCACATTTAGCTTGAGAATATAATTGTATCATATTTATAGTGTGCTGATTGTACTGTTTTTTAAGGTGCATTGACTCCATTATGTTGACTCGAGGCATTTTATTTTATTGTTGTATAGAAGACGTTAATATTAATTCTTTATATTAGTAAATAATAATAAGGACCACTGTTGCACATTTGAATGTACATTTACGTTTTTTCTATCTTGGGAGACAAAAATGTGCCTGTATAGTGCCCTTTTTAATAACATTTAAAGAAAACTGTCAAATCTATATATGCACAAAATCTACTCTTTATACCTAGGAGGACTCTTTGATGAAGATGAAGCTGAGTTTTAATAAACCCAAAGTGTTAGTAAGTAATTTTATATTAACAAATATTTTCAGGTAGTTTTTGAAAAGGAACAGTGAAAAGCGAGCATTACTCAGAAAAGGCATGGTGTCCCTGAACTTTTGACAGGACGTGTATGGCCAGTTGACTTGATATGATGTGCAAACAGAATGAAATCATCATATTGAGGCTTAGGGAACATGGAGTTTGGCTGGTGCTTTGATATTTTCCAGGTCTTGAATATGCATTTCCAAACATATTGAGGGGCAGCTAGTAAGCATAGCTTAATGGATTATTGGACATCACAACTGCATGTGTGTGTTTGATGATGGGGCTGATGTGTAAAATTCTCACTTTGCTTAGTTGCACACACACACACACACACACACACACACACACACACCAGCAAGTAGGACATGTCCTGTCCTTTCTGAAAAGTGACACAGTGTACTCCTACTGTGAGAACCCCTCCTCTTCTTGACTGGTTGCCCTCTGTTTAGCTTAGCTTTCATTTCAGAGTGCACTGCTTAAGGTTTAAGCAGGTAAAGCCCCAACTGTAGGCTGCTGCTGCTAAACTAGAGGTCTGCATGGCCATGAAACTGAAGCCTAAACTGGCTCGACCAGCCCTGACTGCTACATTTGATGCCCAGACCTGCCCTGAACTCTCATGTACTAACTAACTGAGATGGATTATCACAAACACAGTTTTATAGCACTTTACTGTGTTACAAAACACATGAGTAGGACAACAGAAAATGTCTTGCTGGGATAAACTGGTACTTTACATATCTGTAATACATTAACAGTACGTATTATCGGTAGATTTTTGTGTAATTGACGATTGTGCCTGGCAGGGAACAGAATCCACTCTCTTCTGATCAACTGTTTGGCCCACTGCGCTAAGGTTTCTCTCGCTATTGCTGCTACTGCAGATGTGCTTTACACATTTTGGTTGAACTTAACAAGCAAGAGCAAAGATCCACTGTGAACTTTCACCAACCAACACATCTCTCTCATCATCCATGGTTTCATTCAGGGGTGCAGTCACCCACTCCACAAAATCTGGAGCTGTTCCGAATGCAGTTGTAGACTGTAGCGTTATGAGAGAGAGAGAAAATACACGAGTGGGTGTGAAATTACGTAGGTTGATTCCTTAAAATAACAAATATATAATATTAAAAATTTCTTGTTCGAAAAGCCGAACCCGCCCTGAGCCCAACCCAAACCTGTCCCAAGCCCAACCTGAGCCCAGTGTTGTATGTGAAAAATCATCCCGACCCTAATTTATTTGTAGAATTTTAATGTCAGGCAAAGTATTTTTTTCTGCCTAACTGTGCATGTAGTGCAGTGTTGTGCTTTTATGTGCGTGTATGCGGTGAGATTAGTGTTATTTTTTGAAGTGAGTTGTTATGGATGGTTGCTGGGCACAGCAGGTGCAGTCTTTGGCTATTTGAATTTGCCAGCAAGTGACTTTACAAGACATTCCACCGTCACCCCCACATACCAGTGTGTGTGTGTGGTGTGTGTGTGTGTGTGTGTGTGTGTGTGTGTGTGTGTGTGTGTGTGTGTCCACTGTGTGTATGTATAACTCTTTGCCTTTGGAATTGACTCTTAAGAAGTGGCCTCATAGGACATAGAAGCATTTTGCTCTTCTACTGCCAGTGCTACTTGGTGTCATCTTTCATACCACAGCACATTCCTCTGTGTGTGTGTGTGTGTGTGTGTGTGTGTGTGTGTGTGCGTGTGGTGTGTGTCAGGGTTCCAAGTATACCTACATATCTTTGAAAATATCTCTTCCTTCATAAGCAAATCAAGCTTTGACCCCTTAAAATGCAAGACCTGTATGTGGGTGCAAACTTGAGTTTCTCACTAACATAACTACATATCTTACAGATTACTTTAGCAGCAGTTACTCAATAATTAATAGTAACAAATAATTTGTAGTAGTTAATGAACAATAAGTCTGTTCTGTTAACTTGCTATTAGAAGTTCAGTGAACTCAAAATTTTTAGGCAACCAGGTTACTGACTTTTGGAAGTGACCAAATCATTTTTACAGAGCACAACACTTCAGTCCTGAGGTTGAAAAATGGCTGTTTCTGTTTTTTAAATGTACTCATTTAATAACATGAATTCTCAATACTGTTGTGGTGTTTGGTTTCGTATGTAAAGATGATGATCTGACAAAGCTGAAAATTTATGTTTCTTTTTTGTGTTGCAAAACTACCATTTCGGGGCAAGCAAATGCATAAATGGAAGTATACTTAAGAATATACACAGAAAGCGCTCATTCCACAAGCTAATGAATTTTACTGCCTTTTTTAGACATGCTTCCTGCTAGGGCTGGGCGATAAAACGATAACGATAAGTATCGCTATATAACTTTTCCTCGATAGAGCGATAAGACAGGTTTGATAAATTTTCGATATAATACACCATTCTCACACTTCCACGTTTTACCGAAAGCCCTGGTGGTGTTTTCTACAGCAAGGAAAGGGACACTACTCTGCTGTCGCCAGGAGAGGGTGCACTTCCGAGTTTTTCTACATGATTATAGAGGGAGGGGGCCACAAGTAAAAAAAGGGTCGCCAGATATACTTTAGCAACGGCTGAAACGCGGAGTTATACAGTCCCTGTTTGAGTGGAGCGACTGGCGATCTGTTCTCCTGTGACTGAGTGTGGGTGACGAGGTCAGTGGTGTAACTGTACTGTCCTACAGTGAACTCATCTCTTTCCGTACATTCTAACAACTTCAGCGGTGTTAAATCACGTCTACAGCGCCGTGTTACAGCGCCAAACCGTCATATTTTAGTATTAGTGCATTCTCGAGCAATGAAAGTGAAAGAAAGAAGTGGGTTCATGTTCGACAGTAAACTGAGGAAGCTGTGAGGCATTGGAGAGCAGGAGAGTGCTGGCTTTCCAGGCTAGCTGTTTTTTAGCTGCTGGCCAATTGAAACAGCGCTCCGGCACTCCGGCACAACACGGTGAATTGATGATACGGTAGATCAAACATGACACAAAATCACCGCTTTCAGTTTAAACATGCCTAAAAGGAGGACTCTGTGACTGGTGTGAGAGATTCACACTGCAGATAATGGTTTTACACAGCAAACGTCAGATATACTGCGGTTCACCCCTTAAACTACTACGGTAGCATAGAGAAGTCCAGCTGTTGCTAGCTGGTGTCTGAATACTGTGATATGCTCTGACATGGATGTGGTAGAAGTGACAGCAGTGACCTACCGAACCGAGTTGACGTTGTTGAGAAACTAAAGAGTTTAGCACTGTTGTTGGCCACTTGTTTAGCATTTGTAACAGGGTAGCCGAGCGCTCGTCACCAGACAGCTAAAAATAATCTGTTTTCTTTCTCAAATCATGACTATTACAAAAATTGCAGCTGTGCTTTTCCAGCTGATAAAAACAGCTCAGACACTTTCTCCCACTCTCCCGTGACAGATTAGTGAAATGTTCCACTGTTTTCCTAGTGTTTGTCATGATCGGACCATAAGTGATAGTTTAAAACCACAATTAACCACCCAGGAGCAAAATCAGCCTTCAAACGTGAAAGAGATAATGATTTGACATTTATCGCGATATGTATCGATATCGAACTATATGAATTTTGTTTATCGCGATGACGTTTTTGGCCATATCGCCCAGCTCTACTTCCTGCCCAGTTAAACCTTTTTAGAATTTAACCCTTTAATGTCACCCCAAAAATGTAGCCATTTCTACTGTGTCAAAGTCTACTGTGTCAGTGGGCGCCATCGCCAGATTCCCCGAACGGATTGCCAGCGAGACACTCAGTTCCAGAGCGTAATGAGTTAAATGAGACAAAGCCAAAACTTTGACTTTGGGTAACACAGAGTTAAACTGTACAAGAACATGCTAATAACCACAAAGGCACAAACAAGAAGACATGAGATGATGTTTACTGTCATTTGCAGGCAGACAGACATGTCAGTGTGCAGACGGACAGACAGGCACATCTGCGGGTTGATTTCTAGCAAACAAATTTCAGCCAGAGTAAACTACATGCACACATGCAGACCAAATCATCCAAAGCCGTAGCTCATGTTAAAATCCCATTGTTCTGCCAGAAAACAGACACACTCTCAAAAACATCTGCAATGCACGTAGAACAAGCACCTCTTTGTGTGATTCTGCGAATGTGAGTGTGTGTGCTTGTTAGTGATGTTCATGTGAAGCCAGCTCATCCATAGAGCTTTTGTAAGTGTGCATGCTGAAACAGTGGTTAAACATACCTGTTTTGTGCATGAGGGACTGTGAATGTATGTAACACACACAGAGTGCAGCACAGTTTATGATGTTAATTTACATCCTTCCCCAGTAGACAAACACTGTGGAGCTCATATGACAGCTACCTTCTGCCTTATCCGACCTGCTTGAACAGTTTTATGGTTTTATATTGCTTTTGGGCGGAAATGCAAAGTGTTTGGCGTGCTAATAGAGGTTTGAGTTTCTGATCTGATGTGGGTGAAGAACGATTAGGCATTATTTATTGTTCTGTTCAAATATGATATATAAAAAACGTTAAACATCATAGCTGCTGTGTTACATTCTACAATCAGGCTTATCAAGTGCACTTGCTCTTCTGCATGCAGGATACACACAAATTAAGCATTTTAGGTACAATTTTGGAACCTAATGAGAGAAAACTGTATAGATTTCATTAAGGACATTCTGACACTGGCAAGCATATAGGAAATAAGGCCTGGCCAGTATGAAAGCTTTGTGGCTGATACCAATTAAAGGAAGCTACAAATCGTGACAATTGATAATTATTGATTTTATATTCATATTTTATATTAATTTTATACTCTAATAGTTTTAGTGCTTTACTGCTATGACTGTTGGTTCTCAATTGTCCCAGTTCTCAAACTCAAACAGCAGAAACTCACAGTGTAATATAAATATTGTAGCACTAAAGGTGGAGCCACCCATTATTGTTTGCAGTTTTGGTTTCTTATCTCTAATTCTCTTTGTTTTATCTCCTCTTAATTTTCTTATGTTTTTATTACTTCTTTTTCTAAAACGTATTTTTTTGTGTTATAGCTTGTTACTCTCATGCTATGGTTTTTGTTGAGATTTGCCATTTTACGCATACAGTCATCTTTTTAAACACCCTTGGTCAAATCATGTGTTTGGTTGATTCTTTACATAGAACACACTGAAATATGGCATTTGTCCACTAATTTGAGTGCAGATTGAGTTAAATTTTTTTGATGAAGAGCATAAAATGTAAAATGTGCCATAACTTTTGCACAAGCCACATTTTATGTTTGATTTTTTTCCAGTATGTTAAATTCAGCAACCATACAATATTTGTGCATTAAAATGTGCAGAAGTGTGTCCTCTGTGAAGGATGTGCTAACTTTTTTGCAACACGTCATTTTAAAGCAGGTGCCTAATTTTTTCACACTACTGTAATCAAATTCTGGGCTCCCCGACGGCACATCTATCTATAGTTTTGCCCTTTCATTGGTAAGATCATGAGTTCTAATCCCGGTCAGGCCACGAGCAGTTATTGGTGCGGTTTTGGCGATATGACTGTAAATCTCACAATGATTTGATTCGGCTCCATTTCCTTAGAAAATAATTGCAGCTTAAATTTCACCATGATTTAATTCAATTATGTTGGTATTAGTGTACTTTTAAAGATTATTGAAAATTATCTTTAAAAGTACACTAAATAAATACTATGTTGAATATAGACAATAAAACAACTTTTACATTTTTTTACCTCCACGAAGGACACACACAAATTCAGCATTTTAGGTGCAGTTTTGGAATCTATTGAGAGAATACTGCATAGATTTTTTTAAGGACATTCTGACACTTTGAGAATGCCTGACAATTTTATTTTGATCAAAAAATGAGCACATACCTTATATTTTATGATGAGTGCAGCTAAATCTCAAACTCAGTGATGCATCATAATGCATTGATGCATTTTTGCACCCATAGCACATATGTCTGATTAGATGGTGTCTTGTGCTTTTTCAGTTCATTATAGAGGACATGAAGCAGCAGCAGACGAACAAACACAGCAACCTGCACCGAGAGGACCAGCACATCACTGTGGAGGAGCTGTGGAAAGGCTGGAAAATATCTGAAGGTGAGAAGGACATGGACAGATGCATTTTATTCAAAAAATGTATTTTATTGACAAACAGTCCTGACGTTTTCAGGCTGAAACAATAAACAATGGTTACTGTCCAATATGCCAAACGCACAAACATGGTCTTAACTGTGAGTGTGGCTGTAGTTGTGTTATTTGAGTCTTTTGTGTTGTTGTGTTATTTGAGTGAACAGAATTTGCCTCAGACATTCACAGCTTGAAACAAAGAGCGTATGAAACCTCCAAAATAGCTAATCAGGGATGACAGCATTAGCGTGGATTGTGTTACACAACCTGACAAGACACTGGGTCACTGAGTCTGAGTAAGGGCTGAAACAGTGTAGCGTAATGTAGTCTGAACAGACTTGATGTATTCTCATCTCTTCATAATGAGCTGTTCGATGGAACCTGATGTAAATTTGGTGTTGACACCAAGTCAAATAATGTGGGTCAAAATTAAAACATATATATAATATATGCTTGCTTTTGGATAGGATTATTTAACATTTGGAATTAAGTGTTATTTTCTGCATTTTTTATAATTGACACACACATATATATTTTTCATGTATGAGGTTCCTGATGTATACAAAATCCATTGACAGATGCACATACAATACATTGAAACACATTGATTTTATTAGTTGAGATTTCCATTTTTCCTTATTTATTTCTCTCTATCTCTTTCTTTTTCTCTCAGTCCATAACTGGACAATGGATGATGCAGTACAGTGGCTGAAGGAATCCGTAGAGCTTCCGCAGTATGAGACAAACTTCAGGGAGTTCAGGGTTGATGGCAATACGCTACCTCGGTAAGCACAAATGCTTGGCCTATAAATTTTCATAACATGCACATCACTTTATATCAAGAAAACATGTATTCAATAAAACAAAAGGTAGTTAAATTAACTAAATATCAAAGGGGTATTAAGGGGAAATGACCAAGTTATTGTTAGAGCAGCACTGCCCCCCTGTGGTAGTCCTGTGTTGATACAGGTGGTGCCTGTGAAGCAAGGGGTGAAGCTGGGTTTAGAAGATCAGGTTTCCTCACTCCAGCCTCCACTTGCTGACTCATGAAATGATGTCACATCTGTAGATCACCTTTCCCCCTCAGTTATGCTGTATGGGCAGTGCACGTATAGTCTTTCAGCCATTTTGTACTTTCTATTTAAACTTGCTTGGATCCATGACTGTGATTTCATCTTAAAATGTCCTCTCTCTCTCTCTCTCTCTCTCTCTCTCTCTCTCTCTCTCTCTCTCTCTCTCGTTCACGTATGTTCTCTTTCTGTCTCGCTCTCTGCTACAGAATTGCAGCTAATGAACCGTCATTTATGTCGTCGCAATTAAAGATATTAGATCAACGACATAAACAGAAACTAAATCTAAAAGCGCTGGATGCTGTGCTCTTTGGACCGCCACTACGTAAGTGCTTGTGGGCCTAGTTGTGAGTGTGTATTTTTACAGTCATATGCAAAAGTTGGAACACCCCTGGTTAAATTACATGTTTTGTTTATTTCCTAATTCCTTGTTGTGCATTAAAATGTGTGGGAGTGTGTTCTCTGTAGAGGATATGTTCATGTATTTTGACTTGGGAAATCAATAAAACGTCATTTGACCAGGGGCGCGCAAACTTTTGCATACCACTGTATGTGTGAGGTGTGTGTCACAGGTGTACACATTCAATTTTGAAATGATAATACTTTATAGTTTCTCACAGATTAGGTTTAACTCCTTTTCCCAGTAGCTATAAAGTGCTATTTCAGCCTTTTTTGGAGGTCTCTCAGCATCAGGGTGAGCATCTATAAAGCATCCATAGAGGTTGCTCAAAAGAAAGTCCTACCGAAAACACTGATAAATAATATCTCTTAAAATGAATCTATTGATTTGCATGGGTGTGATCCTCTAGTTTTGCTATATCTGTTTCATCTTGTTGGTTTAGTGTTTAAAATGATTTGAGCCAGTGCGTTAACAAGAGCTATAAAATTAAAAACATAAAGCGTATCTGTTTCTGCCTGCAGGACCGCAGCATAACTGGCTGAAGGACTTTGTCCTGATGGTGTCTATCATCATTGGCGTGGGAGGCTGCTGGTTTGCCTACATGCAGAACAAATCCTCCAAAGTCCACATCTCTCAAATGATGAAGGACCTGGAGAGTCTTCAGAGTGCTGAACAGAGCCTGATGGAGCTGCAGAGCAGGTACAGAGAGAGCCAGCAAGAGAAACGGCCATTACAATGACTTTATTTTGCTGTAACAAAACACCTACAGGGTATTAATAGAAGTAATATGTTAGAAAACGGCAGATTTCCCATTTTTTGCAGTGGGTTTCCTTCACAATTACTTCAAAATTAATAGCATTTTACACACAGCTGTAAGCTGTATAGTTTGGATGATATTGTGTAAACACAAATAAAAACAGAGATTACTGGGATTTCTGATGATAAACACAGTTAGTTGTGTTAGTTGCAATGCTGCAGAGTTGGTTCTAGCCCTGTTCTGTGCATGCTTGTTATAGACTGGAGAAGGCGCAGGAGGAGAACCGCACGGTTGCAGTGGAGAAGCAGAACCTGGAGCAAAAGATGCGAGATGAGATTAGCGGAGCGAAGAGAGAAGCTCACAGACTGCGAGAGCTGCGGGAGGGAGCAGAGTGTGAACTCAGTCGGCTGAAGTACGCAGAGGAGGAACTGGTGCAGGTACGAATGTTGTTATTCTGGTGTTACACAGTTCTGCAGAGATTACTCTCAAAATATATCAGCACCAGTGCAACCAGTTGTTCTTGTCTGTGGACATGAGGAATATTGTATATTGTAACACAGAATGTAGAGTTTCTTGTACATTCCGAAAGCATTACTCCTGTGTTCTATTATGAATTTCTCTTGTCTTGCTTTTTCACATGATGATGATGTTCATTTGCCTGTAAACCATAGAAGTCTAAAGTTTTTTAATAATTGCTCTACATTCCATTTACATCATATATTTTTTAGGGTTTTCTTTTTTTTTGCTGTTTTGACCCTTTTGATTTGTCTTGTAGCTATCTCGTTCAAATGCAGCTTTTAAAAGGCTTTTAAAGCACTACCTTTAGCTCCTTACATAGACAGCGTTATGCCTAGCCCTTTCTGTTTGAATGGAGAAAAATTCATATCTTTGTCTCTCATCCTGTCAGAAAATAAGGTAGAAGTTTCAGCATTTTTATTTGTTTTTTTAAGTTGCCTTTTGACCTGTTTGTCAGGCCAAATTACATCTACCATGGCTCATTTTCACTTCTTTCCCGATTTTTCTTCTGTTGTTTAATGGCTGACTGTAGACTGACTCAACTTCCTGTAATTGGTCCGAAAGTCCAAACCATCCAAAAAACACGCTGCAAATAAACATGATCCATGGTCCAAGGCACCATTCACACCTGCTATTTTGGTTTGGGTCAAACTGAAAAGTCACAGTATTCTGCCCGGACAAGCTGGTGAGAAAGCACCCTAACAAAAGCAATACCAAAGTGGAAAGCTTCAGTTCGTCTTGAGAGCTTCCACTGTATGTGAGTGAGAGGAGTTGGAATCTGAATTTTTCCATTTCGAAGAGCTACAAGTGAGAAATCATTAAACAAAATGTAAAAACAGGGTGGTATTCCATCAAGGACATATTGGGCTGGACACTGATGTGGTTTTGTGTGGAACGAAGTTGTAATTCTGTGTTTTTGTGTGTCGGTAGGTGCGTATGGCTTTAAAGCGAGCAGAGAAAGAGTTGCAGTCGGAGTGGTCAGTGCCTGAAGCCTTACAGATGTGGCTGCAGCTCACGCACGAGGTGGAAGTCCAGTACTACAACATTAAAAAACAGAACGCTGAGCTACAGCTCACCATCGCCAAAGAAGAGGTGAGCAGCACAAGGCAATCTCAAAGAAGTTTACCTTTTAAAGGTTTTCTTTCTCCCATTCTACCAAATTCAGCTGACTATTCAGCTGTTTGTAAATAGAATCTAAACTCTCATTTCAGGGATAGAGATAAAGCCTAGTGCCCAGATTAAATGGGCTGTTTGTGAAGAGTCAAAATTAATGCAGTAGTAAAGCTTAGGGCTGAGATTTTGGGCCATTTTATACAGTTAAATTATTTTCTCTGTAATTTATATATTTGTGTGTGTTATAAATGGATAAATGTTCAGCAAGAACTGTCTGCTGACAGGTATCTAGCTGGGTCACACACATTTTTAGTGCAGAATTGAGCAATTTTTCCAATTTAGTCCAAGCACATTATTCATCAAGAAATATATAGATCCAACACATGCACGCACCAACAAAATTAAGCAGATTTTTTTTTTTTTTGCTTCCACTAATTTGGCTTTTTAATGATGCGGGTAAATTACTTTTTAATCACATAGTTTGTTTTTGCCTTTTGTCATTTGCATTTGGATTGAGTCATCAAGCAATTATACAGAGCAATTAGCAAGTGCTGCTATAAGACACAGACAAAGAATACTCTCGAAATTTCTATACCGCAGATCTGCTTACATTCCATTATCCAGTATATCTGTTATCCGCATATTATTCAGAGATTAGATTTATTGTAATGCTTTTGAAGACATTGTTTCTATAGTGTATGCAATTTGAGTTTGAAATAATTGGATGCCAGTTGGGAAGCACTAGAGTCTGACACCATTTAAAGCATAAATATCAAGAATATGTTTGTGTGTGTGTGTATTTCAGGCAGAAAAGATAAAAAAGAAGAGAGGTTCTGTGCTCGGTACTCTCCATGTAGCTCACAGTTCATCGCTGGATGAGGTTGACCATAAGATACTTGAAGCCAAGTAAGCATGCATGCACAAACACTTTCAAATAAAGGCTCCTACATTTTTGTTGGCTTGAATGTATTGTTCTCTGAAAAACATGTAATGTGAATAGAACTTTTACATTATGTGGAGGTTCTTTAAACTTTAAATATGTTCTTCACACTCATTTGCTGAAACAGGTCTTTAAAGTTCCCCATTGAAGAATTCTTATAGAGCCAAAAATGGTTGTTCTATGACATCTCTCCTTTTTTGGCACCTGTACTGAGTGTATGTACTTGATATTTAATGTGAGGGTTTTATTTTTACTGATGACTGTGTTGTTTTGCTGTGCGTGTTGTACAGAAAGGCCCTGTCGGAGGTGACGGCATGTCTGCGCGAGCGTCTGCATCGCTGGCAGCAGATTGAGAAGCTGTGTGGTTTCCCTGTAGTACAGAACTCAGGCCTGCCCAGCCTGACCGCCTCTCTGTACTCAGACCACAGCTGGGTGGTGATGCCCCGCGTCTCCCTGCCCCCCTACCCCATTGCAGGAGGAGTGGATGACCTGGATGAGGACACACCACCCATCGTCACACAGTTCAACTGTGAGCACTTCACTGTGTCGCTGTGCCTGGGCTGATGTTAGGAGCTAATTCGAAATTTGAAATACTAAATATGTATACTGTTTATATGTGCTGTTCAGTATGGTTAGTTTTATAATTATTATTGTGAAAATCTAATTTTACTATTATTTTCTTCCTGTTATTGCCAGTGAGGCATGTAATTTTATATTAATTATTTATTGTATTGTTTACTATCTCTTAGCTCAGTTAAACAGCAAACAGATATTTATGCTATTTTTCTGTAGTTTAGACCGGAATCTAGTAATTAACTATATAACTACACACTTATATTTAAATAGTATGGCAAAAGAGTAATAATAAATCGAGACTTACTGAGGATTTAACAAGCATTATTTAATGTAACAAGCATTATTTAAAGTATTTAAAATATGTTATTACAGCATTCTCAAATTCAGCATTACAGCATTCTCCCTCTCTTTCCCCTGCAGCCACATTGATTCGTCCGTCTCTGACACGCAGCAGCAGTCTGTGTCGCTCTCGGCGGAGCCTCCTGTCTCAGCAGCCCTCTCTGCTCTCGCCCGACCCTGACCTGCTCTCCATGGCCTCTGCACCAGGGGTCTATAGATCAGAGGCAGACGATGAACACATCTTCTTTACTGTGGACAGAAAAGGGTACAGAATAAGTTTAACTTTTTTCCACATTGTTATTTTTTCTTTTGGGTGATTCTTATAATCATCCTGTAAGCATCCCTGCAAAGGCACTACCTGTTAAAAGTTTGGGGACAACTAGTGACTTTTCAAAATGTTTTAATACAAATAAGCATGCTTTGCAAAGTTGTAGACTAGCTTTATTTTGAGGAAAACTCAGTATGACAGGGTGACAGTTTTAGAGAAGGATGCCATGCCTTGTGCATTTTATCCTCTTGTTGCTATTTTTTTGTTTAGGGAAAAATAGCAAAGAAAATATTTTATATGAAACTGACATTATTCAGAGAGATGAAGGTACTGTGTGCCCAAACGTTTGAAGGGCAGTGTGCTGTTGAACATATAGAGCCATTCCTGTATTACAGATCATGAGCAGGTAAATGTACAGCTCATACGATGGATGTAATGTGGATTTATTGACATGAAAGATGGTTTATTCTTATTCTGGCCCACAGAGACTCTCAGGACACATGTTCAGACTCGGACTCGCTCAGTTCCTCTCTAGGCAGGAAACAGCTCTCCAGCCCCGGCACTGTGGGAGCAGATACACCACCACGAAAAATCTCTCGCGAGGAGCTCCTCCTGTTGGCCCAGGAGGCGCAGGCCGTCACCTTGGACATCTCACCTCCACCCAGCTCCTCCTCCGCCGACTCCATCTCTGTCCGCAAGGGCTCCCCTGACCTAACTCGCTCCTCCGCTATCCCCGAATCCCAGAGTTTGACCTTTCATCCCGGCACCAAGACAGCAGCCTATAATGGCATGCTGGAGAAGTCTTACAGCCTGGGCCAGTTGCCTGCTGGCGGGACACCCCCAGAGGGACGTTACCCCTCAATAAGCTCTCTAGACACGAAGGAGAAGGCCAGCAAGCAGGCCAAACCCCTCCACTCCCCCTCCTCTCCGGACTCTGACAACGGTGAGAAGAAGCGCACCAAGATCAAGAACATATTCAAGAAGAGCAAAAAGCTGTGAAGGGAAAGAGAGAAAAAGAGAGAGAGAAAATAAGGGAAAAAGAAGAGGGAGACATGAAAAGCCTTAAAACAAATTTAAACAATGTAATGGATTGTCAACCAGAAGCCAAAATGTTCTGTCCTGTTCTTTTCTTTTTTTATTAAAATGGAATGTAGCTCCGTCTAGGTGCTATCCTGGGTTGGATATGATGCCTTTTTTAGTCCACTCAAAGCCTGGCATGTTATCATCATTCAAAAGTCCTCATATTGGTCATTTTAACAAACATGGCCAATTCACTGTTTTGACCTGGGAAGAAAAATTGTTCACTTCTTGCTACATTGTGCTTTCAAAGTTGGCTTTCAGAGTGAAGCACCCAAATAGATTCTACTTCAGTCAGACTCTTCTTCTTGAATATATGAGATATACTGTAAAACAGTAGTTGTCCAAACATATAGTACTGTGCAAAAGTTTTGAAAATGATATGCAAAAAGCTGTTTATCTGGACCGGGAGCGTTTATTTGCTGATAAAAGCATTAATAGTAGAATAAGTTCAAATAATGTTGTAACAAATAAAGGTGTTATGCATGTCAGTGTGTTTGTTTAACTATTTCCAAATCTCTCCTTGTGGTGTCCCAGTATAAATCGTAATCATCATCCAATACCTGGCTTGGCTAATCAGTCCTTCTTTATGTTAAATCAGGTGTGCTACTAATGGAATTTAATAAATCTGTGTGATTGCTGGGGCATCAAGGAGACACCTGGAATCAAACTAGATCACAGAATAATTGCTTTTTTAAAAACTAAAAAAAAAACGTGTTACTGCATTCATTTATTTTAAATTTATGGTAATGTTATATGGTGTTTTTACAAGCAAAAACAGATTACCTGCTTGGCCTGGGCGATAGGGGTATATAATCAGATATCGTCTATAATTGACATGTAACCCAGTGAAAATGCTTATAAGGCCATAATTGTGGTGTTAGGAAACTGACAAAGCATTAATAAGGACTTTAGGACTTACCTTTAACCAGCTTACTGTATGGGTGTGTACAGGAGCATGCCCACATTGTCTTTTGCGTGAGAGAAGTTTGTTAAGAAGCTCACAGGTACACACTGTAATGCTAGCTTTACCTATCCCATGACTCTTCACCTTCTACTTATTCTACTTTAGTTCGAGAGCATGGAACCTGAAAATAATAATCGTCAATGTATTGGCAAACTTCAGCTTGCTTCAGTGTGACTTGCTGCAGTGTAACAACCAAGCTAAAGTGACTGGGTATTACCCAGGAGCAGCTGGCTCTAGACCTGGTACTTTTAGAAGTAGAAAAGTTCTTCTGATCCTAGTTTACAGCCAGAAAACAACATCAGAAAAAGTAACAAATAATATTAAATAATACGTACACACAATATTTTACTCACTTTTACTGTCAAAACACTGTGTTATTATGGGGCCTCAAAAAGCTGTTAGGCTGCAGCAGAGTAAATCCCTCATTGTCTGTGCTGTGAGTTTCCCAGAGTGTGATTTGTCATCTGAGAAAATTGCAGTATGTTCTGTGCAGCTAAAGTGTCCTGGTGGTTTAGATCAGTGAAAATAAATGACCAGATCGTTTTTCAAAGGCATCTTTAGCTGAATTCCAGAGTGTCCCTGCTATAATGGAGGAAAACACTTCATATTTTCATATGTAAATCATGTGGGCATGGCTTTGAGCATCACTCATTTAGAGAGTTGCAGTCTGAAGTTTCTCCAGTGAGGGGCGCAATTAGCACGCAAGTCAACATTAACGTACACCAGAAAGAGCCCAATGAATCTACACCAGAAGGAGCCCCATAATGGCCCCATAATGAAACATGAATGCAATCTATTAAAACAACAGGTGCAAAAGATGTTGGTTTACTCAGTATTGTTTAATATGTTATTCCTATTATAGATTTTTATTTAAACTGATAATGTTAAAAAAAACAAACAAACTGAACATAGAATAGAAAGTAGGTCTAAGCTGTATCAGGGGTGGCCATATAGTCAGTAATCATGTTTTTTTTTTAGAAACAATCTTGCTAATTATTTTTGGATATCGCCCAGGCCTGCTTACTGCCCAGATAAGGTTTTGAAACTATTTACTGAGGTGCCTAAGACTTTTGCACAGTACTGTTTGTGGATAACGTTAAGAAGTTTCCTTCTTTGAAAAATGTTCAGTGTAAGTTTACAGGGCAATAGTGTGAGCAAACAAAGCTGTTTGTGTCAGTAATAAACAAATAAAAGTGACACAGTTTACAAAATTTACACATACCATCCACTTTATTAGAGACCCTTTGTACTTTCTTTTGACTGGACACTATGAGGTCCACCTACCCTTTAGATCCACTGTATAGGTGTAGGTGTACAATTACAGATTGTAGCCCAGCTGTTTTCAAGCACAATTTATCGGCTGCCATCTGCCCCATTCATCATTGTTCATCATTGTTTCTGACCACAACAGTGTTGCTGCTGGGTTGAGTGGTCTGTTAACTCTGTCAGTGATGGTCTTGCACTCAGAAACTAAACATTAGCAAGGTGAACCTATTTAGTGTTCCAGTAGGTCAAGGTTAATATTGCCAACGATACCACTGTATCTGATTCCCCAGTTTGGTGGCCTTTACCCCTCCCCCCTCGATAACATCTGTTTCTTTAGTTGTTTAATTTGTCTTTGAGCTCATAATGAGCTACAATGAATGAAGGGTTACTAAACCCTTTTTGGTGTCAATGTAAACCATGTAGTAAAGAAGTGATCAGTTTGGCTCTGGTGTTCTGGAGTTGAAACCAAAAAGCCTCTTAATCTGAAAACGTAGGGTTGAATGTGGGCTTTCAGCTTTATGTCACTTCCTGTTTACCGATACTGCAGAACTCCTGTACTTGACTAAGTTCCTTGAAGTTACAAAGAAAAAAGGAAAAACTGAGGTAGCACTTTGGCAAGCAGAGCTATAAACACATCTGATGAACACAGTCATGGGCATGACAGCACTTTGTTTCTACTTACCTGGTTATAGAAGTAATAAAGATCTTTTTGATTAACAACCTTAATATTTTTTAATAAAGAGATTATAGCTTTACTACAAAGTGCATCACAGAAATGTGTGGAGAACGGAATTGATACTACGTGAGAGTGACTGTGTTCTGTGGACAACCTGACTGCTGAAATGAAAGTGCTACCAAAAAAAAAGAAATGAAGAAAGAAATCCTGCTAAAGATTGTTGCACTACTGCTTTCCTTATTTGGGAAGGGCCGCTTCTTGCGGAGTAACAGTAAGTTAAGGTAGTTAGAAAGTTGCTGAGATGCGTTAAAAAGCAACAAGTTGACGATGGAGCCAAAACGATTTGATGCATTTAGAACGCTTCTTAGCATATTTATTTTTCGGTGTTTTTTTTTTTTAATTATAACAATGTTCTGATAGAATTTTTTAAATTGTAGGACATGCATTTGTATTGTGTAGCTGTGGAAGGACTGTGGTTTTTATATATAAATATATATATAGAGATATGCAACTTTTAACCCCTTAATAACCCCTTTATAAGCCCTATTTGTTGGACTGAACGCTCTGTTTCAAGGGCTTTACCATCACTGTGATCACAATCCTCGTCCTCACCCACTGTAATACACAGTTTGGCACCAAATGTGTGCCATTTTGATGAAACTTTGTCACAACTTGTTTTATTTTACTGTGATTTTTAAAACTGTGTGTCATGTAAGAGAGGCTGATTCATCCTAAAATTTAACTGTATTAAATATATAGAAAAATGCAAGAGAGTAGCCTGTGGGCACCATAGCCTACAGGAAATGTCTGCACATGTGTATGCCCTTTGACCCGAGTTAAACTGTTCTAACTGTCTAAAAAAAAACTCCCCAGGAAATTAGGCTCGACAAGCTTTAACTCGACAAGCTTTCGCTCATTTACAGTGAAACTGTGGAAAGAAAGAAAAACATCGTCTGAAGCAACACTGTACAGTGTTTCAGCCTAAAGCTCTATAGCAATGTTAATCCATCCTGATCCTGCAGTAACCCTGCATTGCACATTTTACTTTTCCAGGCTCTAATGGACCCATTTTGAGCTTGTGAGTGTTTAATTGGCTCATAAGATGAGTGAGATGTGTTGAGAGCAGAGGAAATAGTAAAATATTCAGTATACTCTGTGAACAGGATTTGGACATGTTTCTCTATAGGTGTGATCACCAACCTGCAGAGTGCAGTTCCAACTTTCAAAGAAATTGGTCAGCTACCATCAGGTGTAGGCTCTGCCTCAGACGGTCCACACATGGACCATCTGATACTTATTGTATGCTTTAAAAGAAGCAGATTGCATTTCTTAAGGACCGGGTTAGCAAATCTGATTGACATGTAGGACAAACATGAGACAATGAGAGCACTTGCATGCAATTAATGATCCAATAACTTCAGATTTTGGCAGTATTTTTTTATCGCATTTACATGCGCTTGGGTAATCAGATAATGGCAAACTCTAGGTCTGCACAAGTCAGGCAGTAAACGAGAAAAAAAAGATGTGACATAAAACTTCATGCTTTTTTTTTTTTAAACATCGTCACTTTATTGAAAAATATGAACAGACAGGTCTGTTTTTGCCTGTGCAGACTGGGAAAACTGAAAGAAATCAGAGTAAGGGTATGCATGTACTAAAAACCCAGTTATAAGGAGCTAAAATCCAGACTTAGATCTGATCTAAGAAATTGAAGTATGCTGTTTACATCTCTACTTGAATAATCAGATAATTGCAAAAATCTGATAGTGTTTGGATTATTAAGTGCTTGTAAATGCACTCATTCATTTGAGAGAATGCAGAAGACGGAGGCGATTGATACGCATTTCGGGACTGACATATAATAATAAACAGAAAGTTCTTTTCATCTTCAGATTGTGGTAGTATTTGTGTTGAAAACAGCCAAAACTAGCTTGTCCTCCATGTTGCAGGAGTAACTATAGAGAAGGCAACTATCAGCTATGACGTATGGTTATTATGTCGGCGCTCAGCATAAAAGCTGACAGTTTTAGTTTTTCAGCATGAACACGTTATTAAAATTGTGAAGCATGTTGTGCAGTCTAGAGGAGTGCTTTCAGTGGCGGTGCACATACACATGCGCCAGAGACAACAAACAAAAAAGAAGCTTGCTTTGAGAGAGTTTGAAATGGCGTCGTCTGAATGCCCCTAGGATGCCCGAACTATTGAAATGTTATCAGTTTTTACATTCTGATTGGCTATCCACGCTTCAGTGTCTGTGCACTTCTGTTCAGCTTTATTTAGTCCTTTTTAAATCAGTCTGATGGGACACAAACAGCCTGTTCCAAAGTCCACTCTTTGCAGACTGTGGGATTACAAAAGTGCCCACTGTGACGTTCAAATTTAGCAAAATTCATTAAGACTTTGACAACTGTGTATCTAGTCTTCGTGGAACAGCAGGTTGCGGATGTTCTTGCAGTTTTAATGTTTTTTGTCGATATTTAGAACTATCAGAATGTCACCAGCGTGTTGATTTGAGTGTACTTAGTGTGCTTTTGCAAGTTTGAGAAATGAGATACACTTGGACACTCACTGGACAACACATAAATACGCACATTAGATCACAAGAACGGAGGTGAGGAGAGTCACTAGTAGTAAACAGTTGCCTTTCAGAGCCAAATACAGGTGCTGCCTTTAAAAAATCAGCTTTCTGTCTTCAAAAGATATTCGAAAGTTTAATTTGAAGCAGTTAGTGGCAGGTGAATGAGATATCTTGTGTGTTTGCCAGCAGGTTTACCATTTTTCACACAGGTCTGTCTTTATTTTTGGACAGTGGCCCTTATACGTCAGACATAAACAGTGATCTGTGGTTGATTATTATGCATGTCAGTCAAATGTCCCCTTCCTGTCAAAGTATGCAGTTCTTGGCTATTCTGAGTGACGAAACACACCAGACTGCCTTAGGATAGTCAGACATCTGGTTTGGGAGACTACATGGGGTGTATCACATTAGGGTTGGAACTGTTTGTACCAGTAGATTTTCAGGAGGGTCGTTTATCATCTGCATCTATAGCACAAACATCTGTAGTAAA